TTAAATTTCGACATTTCGTATTGACGCTAAATACGACTGTAACGCTGCAATGGAAACGAAACGAACGAAATAACTCGCGAAGACGCGGCGAAAAGCGTTCGGTTACCACGTACGGCATCCTCACACCGAACGTCAGCGTATGGAAGAGACCACAACAATACATTTCTATAGTAAGAATCGTGACGCAGCGTTGCGTTCGACGTGGCGCGCTGTACGCGGCTTACGGCGTTCATATGAGACCAAAACCTTACTTCTGATGTGGATAAACGTTTTGCCAATGTTTTTCCGCCTCCATCCCCCACGATGTTGTCTGCGTGGGAATGATAGACGTTTATAAGATATATTACTCAGTGTTCGCTTGCACTTAGTCTTTTATTTATTCTGGGAGTCTCGCTTGGAAGCAAATTGGAAAATTGGAAATTCCAAAGGACGCTAAAACGGCCGGAAGTCATAAATTTTCATCAGTACATTGGAATTTGGTAAAAATACAGGTATCAATAGACATTCACTTATGAACTTCGTAAAATATAATACAAATAAAATTTAAAAAAATGCCCGTAACTTTGTCTGCATTTTTCCGTGAAAAAAAGTGCCCTAAAAGAGATAGGGCACAGCTGATCTCCCGTACGAATTAGAGCGAGTCTGAAGAAGTACCCAACTTCCAGAAACTACAGAGTGATCTCCTTCTGATGGTATTTTGTTTCTGTTGGGGAGATGTTCAGGGCTCCACAGGACAGTTCGGGTTAGGAATCTTCGACTGAAATGAACCTACTTATTATACAGACGATCAAACAGAATTACTTTCCTATTAATAAAATTACCCATGAAAAGATTGGTATGTTAAAAATCGCGAGTAACGTCATGTACGTTATAACCACGTACCATAAACCATATTTATATAATGTGTAAATTCCTCTTTAAAAATTTAATTACATTACGTCTACAGCTATGTTTGCGATCGATCAAATATGGATGGCGCACATTTAAAAAAAGGATGAGAAAATAAACAACGGTTTTTCCCTTTTCGTTATTGAAAAATGGTCCTCATCAAATATCAGTACCCCATATAATTCAATGTCGGCCGTGCCTAATCGATACTTCGACGGCGTCGGAGCTACCAATACATAAATATTATATACCAACTTTATATAAATATTTGATAAGTACTAGCGACACATCGCGTCTTTATACGGATGGAATTTATGAGATATTTTGAATTTCCCGTCGGTTCCATTTATTAATACCAAGCCATAGAGCATCGCGAAAGGGAGTAGCCATAGCGACATAAGAATATTCAAATCATTCTGTAATTTTTTGCGGGGGGAAAATGCATAAGACAAAACCTTAACTACGACAATTACATATAAACAATGACACAATACATCGCTAAATCCTGCACACATGTATCGTTTGTATGCCTAATTTATACGCCCAACTCTACAGAGGGGAACGCTGTGAATACCTACTTCGCTCCAGACCGTGTCGGCTGCGTTGCTCTTTTTTGCTTTTTTGATTTTCCCCCGCTGTGTGCAAGCTCAAAAACATAACTAAGATGCCCTCGGATAATTCAGTAGACTGAGTCTAGTCGCGCGAGTGTATGTTAGAGATCAAAAATGCCAAAATGTTATGTAATTTGCTGTAAAACATATCTTGTATATTATACTTACCAAAGGAAGGTGTTAAAATTCAACATATAGGTAAAATTATTATTTCTATTTAACCAATTTTAAAAACAAAATTCGTATTATTTTGGTAAAATTCAATCGTCGCAGTTGCTTGACAAAACAATCGACTCGCAAGTACTAATTTCAGACCTGTCTATAAAAAATCTTAAGTTTCATCTACGCCCGATTTAGCGCTGTCATTTTTAATGTGTGAGTGTAGTTATTACAATTTCGTTTTTGCGAAAGGACTGCATTTGTGTGCATATTCCTCCCCCCGCCAAAAGCGGCAAAATAATTTCAGTAATACCATGGACCTGAAAAAAAGAAGTAGTACTAGTAGTAGTAGTCATTATGGCGATGTTGCTCTATGTGTGGCACCTTCCTGTGGAACATTTTTTTAGTCTTAGACTTTTTTGAACTCCTTTAAAACAAACTCAGTTCATTTCATAGTTGCCCAGCTTTGTTTTATATTTTTTATTTTATTTGGTACAAATTGGATTTTGCAGCTACAGATGAAATGTTTCATTTCGTGTATAGTACACCCAAACTCTGTAAATTTTAAGTATATAGGTATGTCACCGGGAAACTGTATAATGCAGGTATTTTATACAATACCAAAGCAATGTATAAAATGCCTTGGGCATTTAGATAATGTATTGAATAATATAATAAATAATATTTTCCATTTTACAGTTTGCCTAGGTAATTTATACAATTCCTAGGGATTGTATAGAGTACATCCTGACCAACCGTCAATGTGTAAAATAAACAGATTTTTCATATATTTATCTTAATCAAACCTAACCTAGCCTACCCAGTTGGATATAAAATGACGGACTTTATAATTCTTTCCGAATGAATTACAGACCATTTGGCGAACTCACAGTGGGATAGGTTAAGTTAGTTTCTTGCCAGTTCTTTTCAGTACAAGGTCTTCCGCCGTAGATTTCAGAACCAATGGCGTAGCTTCGAGACATTCAGATGTGCTTGTAACAGCCTAAACTGAATAAATGATTTTGATTATGATTAGTGTTGTGGCCTAAACATTGCGCGAACCGAGCTAACAACGCGAAACGCCAGCCACCTGATAGATAAATAATTATCGATAATAAATAAATAATTATCGATACTAGATAAATAAAACAGGGAAAAATACACTCGCTATCTTCTTTTACACTCATTGACGACTGCGAATTCGGCGTTTTATAGAATACCTAGGCAAAGTATAAAATGAATAATATATATTTCATATAATGCCTTGGCTTTTTTTGCATTCTATACATTGCCTAGGTATTGTATAGAATGACGGATTAAACGGATTGCCGGTAACATATACATAATATAGCTTAGGGTGATATAAATATTCTTACGATATCATTTATATCCCAATCTATTGAGTCATTTAGGAATTATGTACGATGAAGAAACACACATGTACTTTGAAATCATTACACTTCTTTGGCAGTCGTGTAACTGAAAGTAATCATCATCATTATATCCAGCCTATTAATAAGCCTTCCCTATGAATGGAATAGGGAGAATTGGGCCATGACCCACCACGCCGGGCCCATTGGTGGGTCTGCAGTCGTCAGCAGATGCAGCCAGGCCCAACGGCTCAACGTGCCTTCCGAAGCACGGAGGAATTCAAGATACTACATTTTTGGTCACCCATCCAATGACCGGCCATTGCAAGCCGAACGCCACTGCGCAATCAAGCTCCTCCTAGAAGTAATGTTGAAACAATATTGTTTCAATCGCTTGTATTAATAGCTAAGACTACAACAGTTGCAAAAGTTACTTTGTGTACGGGAAGTTAAGCAGCCAGCGGATTTTGTTTTTCATGCGCTCCAAATTCGGTGTGCGATGTTAGTACCAAAAGAGTTCTCCTCTTTAACTGAAGTAACACAGCTTTGAAAAAAGATGATTGATAAAATTGAGGTTAGGATTGCTTACAATTAGCAATAGAAAATCAAGTACTTTTACTTCCCCTGCAGTTGTTCTGGAGAGTTGAATGTTGAGTAGAAAAGATACTAGGAATTCTCTCGTAAGCAGAATTGTTCTTCAGTCACTGTTGTTCCAATTCAAGTGTCGGGGAGTTTACGTTGAATTTCTAATTTAAATCGCGGATAAAGTTAAAGGCAAGTCGGAGGCAACAATGGCGTTGATTGTTTGAATAACAATTATATTGGACTTGCTCCGTAATTAGAACACATTGAACAAACTTGAGTGTCGGCGTTTTTGAAGAGATAATCTTGTTATGTCTGGCAGATTTCCCTGATGCGATCTTTATGCATGGATCAGCACATCTACATTTCGGGTAGAGACGAATTTAATAAACAATCTCTCTGTATTTATTCACGTTTGGTGCCAGTGATAGTAGTGCTCATACGAAAAGTGCAAGTTAGTGTCGCCGCACACGGGCCACCGACCACAACCACAAAACACCGCCACCGGCATATTTCTTGTAGTTTTCATACATTTTATATGGACTCGCCATACACGGTAGCGCCGGTGGCCGCCACACGCAACAAATCGTCGTTGCTCGCTTCTTATGGCCCGCACCGGCCACTTAATGCGCCGATACAAAACGCCGCCGCCACCACACGTCACTCGCGCGATTCCCCACCCTTCTCTCCCTGACCTTAGTCGGCCGCTGTCGCGCGTTTCAGCCACTTTAGTAGCCGCTTCTAGCTTCTCGTGGTGGCGTTTGTGGCTGTGGCGTGTGGCGCGTGTGCGTTGATACTAAGACTTGCATACTAGTTTTTCGTATAGATAGATACAACACAAGAATTTTTTTATGAGGACCTCTTTTGAAACTCAATTTTATTTATTTGGCAAAATGTTAAATGTCTACCTCATACAGTGCATGATATATAGCTAGCTGATGGACGGATAGTCGGAATGCTAGAGGAGGCTTAATATAGACTACAGTACCACTATTACCCGTTAGAACAATAACAATTATGTTAATATAATGGAAGCCCTAATATATGATTTTTAATGCTCCACTCCTATATATTGTTTTGCACTTTCATGTCACTAACATTATAGCTATTAACGGGATTGTTACATGTACCTTGTTTTTATGAGTCTCCGATATTTTGGCATTGTTGCAAGCGCCGTGATAACGGATTAACTGAAGTAATTGAGGGTAGATGCACCGCTACTAATCAAATGAAACAACAATTTCACACACTCAGTTAAAAAAAACAACCAAAAAAGGTGTTGTCGAAAAATACATACTTATTCTCTTTTTTCACTGAAAGCGCGATTTATTGGTTGTGATGTGTGATGCGATGTTATCCTGTACTTGACTTTGATTCGTATTTGTTGCAGGAGTAAAGTAGCAGCGTTACTCCTGGACAAGCACCTTCAGATCAACGGCATCATGGGTGAGGTGATGAGGGAGAGGCAGAGCATCCAGATGCAGCCCATGGCCAGCAGCAAGATGAAGCGGGAGAGGAAGGCGGCGAGGACCTTGGGCATCATCATGTCCGCCTTCTTGGCTTGCTGGCTCCCTTTCTTCTTGTGGTAAGCGTTACTTTCTTTTAGGATAATATTATTTGACCCTCGAAAATCTGGACTGGCTTCGCTAGCGTTAATGTTGATTTTGAAAACCGAATTCTGATTATAGATCAATTGGATCCGTCGACAGGAGAAGATACATATAATACATGCAAAATGAAAAAAGAAACATACATTTATTGGTTCGGTAATGTTCTGCCACGCCCAGAACTGAAGATCTAACATCTCTTATTAACTTTTCTTATACTTGGTCGATACAATTATAGACACAAAATAGAGCATTATCAACGGATCTCGGTTATGTACTACATTGTATACCTTCTCATTCCGTAATTCATATATATTTCGCATAATATAACTACTGAACTTAATTCCAATTGGAATTTATACGATATGAATACACTTCAGCTCAAGCAAATCTTTCACTCAGCGGGATATGACCTTGTTTGCTTGTGTCCATAATTGTAAATATTGTCAGATATCTACACATTTAGGGTTCCTTTCCACAAAAACGGAGCTGTGCGAAATTGAGCAAAGCGAAGCCGTGTAAATAGGCAAGTATTTCCATTGAAGCTGTGCGAATATGAGCTGTGCAGAGCCGAGCGAAGCAATGTGAAGTGAAGAATAGCGGAGTGGAGCAGATTGAAGATGAGCTGAGTGGAGCTGTGAATGCATTTTATTTGCAGTCAGTTAAACAATTGAATAAAGCAATACAACAGCTCCACCAGGTTCAACCTCGCCCAGCGCCGCACCGCTCAGCGTGACCACGCTCCGCTCTGCCCAGCTAAACTCTTTGCGCTATACATTTTAATGCTATTCTTCTCAACTCCACTTATACTGTTTCCACTAAAGCGGAGCTGAGAAGAGATGTATATTTTGAGCAATGCGATTGGTATTTTTTATAAGACAATGCTATTTCTATATCACCACCTCTTTCAAAAAAATTGTGTTGATATTGCTAATGATTTCATTTATTTGTGCGACAATCGCTCATGCGCGTAATCATCAATTTAAATGTTGTTGTGAGTTCAGATTTATTTGATCATATGGTGTTTAATTTATTTAAGTAACTTTAGCTATAACTTATATCCAAGTTGCACAGCCAGTCAAGAGACACAGTACACATAATTGAGTCTCCATTAAGTTCCCTCAGGCCGCCCTCTGTGGTGGCGACAGTTTTGGACAACGTGACTTTTTGCGCGGCAGATGCTGACAAAATATCCAGCACATTTTGTCTGTTGGCTGACTGAAAAGCTCCGCTTGGAAATTGGTTATGCGACCGGCATCTACCGTTGGCCCAAACCATCTTGGTAGTGATATAACATGTATCCTAGTGGATTGAGTAAGCTTAGCAAGGTTATTTATTGCTGCGTGTTAAGAGCTACATAGGGACCACGTCCACGGTTTCTAAATATTCTCCTGTGGCGTGAGTATAGATCCGAAGACGGTTATTAAAATGCATTTTTCGTTATTAACGGTTATTATCTAGCAATTGATGTTTGTTACGGTTAACGAGTATCGCTAGATTGAGCTAGTGGCTTTAAATGCGCAGTGAGAGTTAAGGGTTGGAAGCACTATGAAGGCCTAAAATTACTTAAAAGTACTGACTTTTACTGACCGTTTTTTTTTATTTATTTAATCTTTATTGCCTTTAATATGCAAATGGCGGACTTAATGTCAGTATGGCATTCTCTACCAGTCAACCGGAAAGAAGTTGCAGAGAAAATGAAACGGCAGACAACCAACAGAAAAACATTAAAAAGCATTAATTACTTCTACATCTAATTTATAAAATTCTCGTGTCGCGGTGTTTATGGTTAAACTCCTCCGAAACGGCTCGACCGATTTTCGTGAAATTTTATATGCATATTCAGTAGGTCTGAGAATCGGATGTAATCTATTTTTCATCCCCCTAAATGTTAAGGGTAATCCAACCAGGTCAGGTAGTACATATATAAATATACATTATAGCAACATACATAATAGGTACACACAAATATATACATACATTAATACATATCTAACAATAATATGCAGTGTCTGATTATAGTATCCTAATACAAATTCAAGCATTTTGCGATAAATTTCAATAATGTTTCCGCGCCAAAGACCTAAACGCATTCGTGAGCAAAATGATTTTATTTTTCAAGGTCCGTAGATCTGAGTGTATGGGTTAAATTTTAAATCTATATCTCTTCGCGTTCCCGAGATAAATGGTCTTAACAGACAGACAGCAAGGTGATCCTATGAGGGTTCCGTTTTTTCTTTTTAAGGTACGGAACCCTAAAAGTTAGAAGAACGGTATACCACTTAGAAATTCACATTTAAATTAGACAAAACTGCGACTAAAGCTGTGTAGTTACACAGAAGGGCCCGCTATAATGGCAGTTTCGTAATAACTACAATCATCGGGGGTGATTATTGTAAAGACTGTCATTAGAACCCTATCACAATTACGCCCAAATAGAAAGGCAAATAAGATTTCGAGGCTAACAAATTGGCATTATTAAATAAACAGAAAGGGCCCAAACGAGGTTTCATATCAATCACGATTCTTTTACCGGCGTTTGATGTAATAAAAAACACAAATCGTAACCAGCAGTCTCGAGAACTCAGTTACTCAGGCAAGCAATATGATCTTATAATCAATTTATAATTTATAAAAGGAAATTTTATCTTTACATTTACGTCTCATCATTGTGTTCTCCTTTATCTGAAATAAGATACGGAGATTCGTTCGCAAATCCGTCTATTTAGGTTTATTAATTTTGAGAAAATTTATTTTCGAAATATCATAATGACTTAATATTAATGTAGTACAAGTGGCTATAAGAAAGTAACGTTTACGTATTGTGTTTATTATTTATCTTAAAAAAAATGACACACTTATGAAAAGTAGTTCCACACCACCACAACCACAAAATGCCACCACCGGCATATTTCTTGTAGTTTTCATACATTTTATATGGACTCGCCACACACGGTACGCCCGGTGGCCGCCACAAGCTACAAATCGTCGTTGCTCGCTTCTTGTGGTCCGCACCGGCCACTTATGCGCCGATACGAAACGCCGCCACACGTCACTCGCGCGATTCCCCACCCCTCTCCTTTGCCTTAGTCGGCTGCTGTCGCGCGCTTCAGCCACTTTAGTTTACTTTAGCATTTAACTTCTCGTGGCGGCGTTTGTGGCTGTGGCGTGTGGTCCGTGTGCGGCGACACTAAGAGTTAAATGACTTGAAACTGTTCTTTAGTACTAGGCATGATTCCTTGAATTGGTTTATCATCATCATCATCACCAGCTATTAATGTCCCCACTGCTGGGGCACAGGCCTTCTCTACGGATAGAATAGGGAGATTGGGCCATGACCCACCACGCGGGCTCAGTGCGGATTGAAGGGTGCTAACGAATCTCTTCATATGTACCTATGTATTTTTCACCATGGACCTATCAAATCCACTGCTGAGTTGAGAAACATGGATTTTATAGAGATTATATATAAAAAATCATATAGAAAGAACGGATTATAATGACTTCTGATGCCAAAACCAAACAACAGCTTCACAATCAAATCCATTAAATATCAGTGAACTGAAAGCTTAGAAATTATTTCCCCCTTCCGGTGACCGCCATTGTGTCTCCCAGCTTAAATTTCCATGTTTGGTTTTATGTATATCAAGTCGGACACTATTGTTTTCGGTTTTATTCCAGTAAAAGGTAGAATTATTATTAACTAGCTGTGCCCCGCGGTGTTACCCGCGGTTTATTAGGGATATTTTCCCGCAGTAAAACATAGCCTATGTGTTAATCCAGGGTGTCAGCTAACTCTATACCAAATTTTATTAAAATCGCTCCAGTCGTTTAGACCTGAAGAAGTAACAAACATACACACTCATACACTCACAAACTTTCGCCTTTATAATATTAGTGTGGTTATTTGTTATTAATTGACATTAATCTCTTTAATTCTTGGAATGATATGACATTATTAATTGTTTCATTGATTTCACATAATTTATTTTATTATGACAATAACTTTACAGGATTTTATGTTGATAAAAAACTCTATGGCCCCATAACTCATTAATAGGTACCAACTCTTAACATTTTAAACACGTGATAACTTTTAAACGAAATATCCGATTGAGATGAAACAAAAAGTATTTTACTTCTACATAAATACTCTTGATAACATAATGCTTAATTTCGATAAAGATTAATATTACGATACATATTTAACGTAGTTTTTTTTCTTCAGTCGATTTAATAATTATTTTGAATACAAAATCGGTTATTGTGATTAAACCATGATAGCTAGATATATGTTCTCGCGGACTTTTTTGTAGGACTTAATGGGATCTACAAACCCGTAGTACATCATTTTGTTCTATTGTCAATAGTTTTTGCAGCGCACGCAAAAATAGGTTTTCGATTTTACACCTTGTGTTACAAAATAGCAATTTCATTACAGATCCCTAATTTTGAAAAAAAAATATAGCCTATAGCCTTCCTCGATAAATGGACTACCCAACACTGAAAGAAATCTTAAAAAGAAAATTTGATAGTAATCTTAAAAAAAATCTAATCAATAAGGCTTAGGTACTATTCTGTAAACGAATATATTGACGAAAAAATAGGTTAGGTAAATAAATAAACATGAAATAAACCCATAATATTAATGTAAACTGTAAAGCTATTTTTGTATTTAAATGTTACTATTTATTAATAATATTATTAAGATATGTGATTTAATTTTGTATAAAATATGTAATTGTAACAATAATCTAATAATTTGCCGTGCCCTTACAGGGCTCTTGTTTGCAACCTAACCATACTTGTAACACCTGTTTATACAACAAGATGCAATAAATGAATATGAATATGAATCATTCAAATCGGACCAGTAGTTCCAGAGATTAGCGCGTTCAAACAAACAAACAAACAAACTCTGCAGCTTTATAATATTAGTATAGATACTATTATTATATAGTATACTACACTGCCTGCATGGAGATGGGGAAACTAAAGACAATAAATCTGGCTTCTAGCATCAAATGCCTTCTGTATTTAAGATAACGGCATCTTTCCTCTCAGTAGACAGAATCACTAGAATAAACAGACCAATACCGACGACATGAGATAAGTGCAGATTGGTAGTTGCCGAATTTCCAACAATTGCTTTTTTTCTAATTTATTTATTCAGCAAACAATTTACATGTAAAATTACATTATATCTGCCAAACTGCAACGCAGTTTGTCGGCAGAGTTCTCGTAAGTTACTAGCTGTATGTAACGTGCAAGTAATTAATATGCCTTCCGAAACGCTGTGAAGCTCAACATAATATATTTTATTCGTCCATCCGATGAGCAAACTTTCCAAACCTTCCTTTACCACGACAATTGCAGACTGATCGAGCTAACCTCAGCGCCATCAAGTTTTTCAAATTAATGTTCTTTTACACTGTGTCGAGCTCTTTTGACTTTCTGCAAATCCCGCAAGGGGTACGTGTCGTGAAACTTTCGTATTACGTATACCTAGAATCCTCCGATATCTACTATCAACATGGAAAAAGAAATTTTCTGACTCATTTCTTTGCTGTACAAAATCGCAAATGGATTTTTTTTTACAATTTGCAATTGGAAGAGATGTATGTAGAAAAAACTTGAAGACTGACAGTGTTGGAATAGCTACTCGTATATTCCGAAACAAGGAGCCGTCTATCTGATACTTTTCACGATAATGCAAAATTTGACATAAAAAATAACGTTCATTTGAATTTTACCTTTTCAAACGTTCTTAAGCTGAGTTGTATCAAATACTCGATTTACGAGATAAATAACATGCTTACGCTTTTTCTTAAGGTAATGCTTATTTTAAAACTTTAGCGTCTGATTTAATAAAAAACGCAAACCACAGCTGTTTTCGCGTGTGGACTCCAGCACCACTTAAAGGGTGAATTCGTCTGCTCAAACCTATTTATATAAAAAAATCTACTTGTACGTATTGATTTCTTTTGTTTTCTTCATCAGGTACATAATAACGGCATTGTGTGGACCTTCGTGTCCATCGCCGCCTCCCGTCGTCGCAGCCGTTTTTTGGGTCGGGTACTTCAACTCCGCCCTTAACCCTCTCATCTACGCATACTTCAATAGGGACTTTCGAGCCGCTTTCAGGAAAACCCTGGACTCCTGCTGCAGGTGCGTACGTATTTAAGTTATTTTATTCTTCAGTATGTTTTGGTTACGTTTCGCGAAGATATTCAAAGCTAGCATCTTTAATTACTATTGCTGGAATATCATTCTTTGAAAGATTTCTTGCAAGAATTTTATAGTTTTTAGTATCATTACAGAACTTTTATAAGTTACGAGTATGAAAATGCTTGCTGAAGTCTATTCTTTTATTGAATTGATTGTAAACTTTTATTTTTAAATTATCATTTTTCTTTTAGATTATCTTCATGCTTTCTTCCGCAGTCTACACATAGAGTAAGACTGGTCTCCCTAAGATATTCATTAACACGTACACCAACAACAACAATGAGAATTACAATACGAAGAGGTAATGTTACACTAAAGACTCCAAATTCATACCTCATAGGTGTAATCCTGATGAAATTAAATTTCTTTCTGATTTATTAGCTCCTATTTAATTCTACTACTTGTGGCCCGCCCTCGCTTCGCTTCGGTGTAAACTGTAGTTTTAAGTATTTTGTTTTAAATATTTGGGAAGACAAATTTAATTATTTGGATAAGATTTCATAATTGTTAAAAATATGTTCGATAATGATGACCTAAGAAATAAAATTATTTTTTAATATAAAAAAATACTTGTAGACTTAAATATAATTACACATATTCTGCCGCTAACTTTTATGTAGGCATTATCAAGCTTTCAGCTTTTCTCTAGAATTCAACTATATATCTCTCATCGTTAAGGCAACGTTCGTAAGGAACGTTTTCCTTAGACCGTTTATACTCCAACCTACTTTGCAATTGCGACTTACACGAAAAAGCCTTTTCATGTTTTGGGTTAATATAGGGTTTTTCATTAAGAGCGCTCGATTTTTAAAATTATATATTATGTTTGCCTGATATTGCTATAATTTTAATTTTATTTTATGGAATATTCGTTGACAATTTGTATGAAACATAATTTCAGCCAAATGGCCACCTCGATTTTGCTGGACTTTTTTCCATCAATAGGGTTCATTTTCATGAAGAACAAGATTTATGTTGGCCTTCAAGGCAGCAATTATTTGTAGTTTCTTTACATAGTCCAGATACTTCACGTAGCTCCATAGAAAGTAGTTGAGCAGTGTTAAATCACACGATGTCTGGCTATTTGATGATGCCACCGCGTGACATTACAAGATGTTAAAACTCCTCATCCAATAAATTTAATCTCTCTCCTGCAGTATGGCAAGTGGCGGCGTCCTTTTAAAACCACATATTTAAGAGAGCTACACCATCTAGCTTAGGTCAGGAAAATTTGTTATCATGGTCTAATATAGATCGTCATTAACAGTGACGACCTCCGTGGTCGGGTGGTTTGTATGCCGGGTTTCATGGTGTCGCGGACTCGAGAGGTCCCGGGTTCGAATCCCGGGTGGGGGCAGATGTTTGTGTGATGAATACGAGCATTTGTACTCCAGTCATGGATGTTTGATATGTATTTCTATATCAATATACTTATATATGTACAGTGTGTATATTCTATCCGTTACCCTAGTACCCCATAACACAAGCCTATAAGTAAACACTACTTTGCGGCTAGGTTTATTGGTGTGAGTTTTGGAAATATTTATTATCTTTATATTTATAATTCTTCTGTGAGTGTGTATGTCACTGAACTTCTCTTAAACGACTGGACCGATTTTGATGAAATTTTTTGTGTGTGTTCAAGGGGATCTGAGAATGGTTAAGATTCACAATTTTGTCCGCTGGACAATGTTTTTTTAATTAAATTTTTTTATGGCGGTACGAAGTTCGCTGGGTCAGCTAGTTTATTTATATTCTTGCGCATATTCGGAAAAATAAGGGCCGGTAACGCCGTCGGTCCAAAATCCTCACCAAACAATGACATTTTCGATGTGAAGAGGCACTTGATGAATTTCCCGAATCGACCTCAAGATGTTCTTAAATGTATTTGTTAGGCGATGGATTGTGGACTTTGCAAGACGGTCGTGAAAGCCATAAAATGGTCGCAACGCACGGAAAGTAAGGCAAATAGAGCACTGAATCCAATAACAAATCTTAAACATTTCTACGCATTGTTAAAGATCGTAACGATCTTAATAAAATGTCACTACTAAATATGTATTCTTGCCAAAGACAGCTATCGCTTTTCAAATATGGCCGTTATACCACAGTTATACTTCGAGCGTTCTTATTGAAAACCCCCTTTATAACGTGGCTTGTAAAAGAATTTTCAAAATCGGATTACCCCCTAATACGTCACAATTTCACAAAGTCAAAAATTTACCTCTTTATAATATCAGTATCTATTCTATGGATCTTCTAAAGAACCCAAAACTAATTTTATAAAAACGGAACTTCGTTACAAAATATTTCGTAAATAAATTTTATTAAAACTATTATTTATTTTTCTTTATATTAACAAAATATAATATTATATAACTTAGTATTATTTTAATGCTCTATAGTTATAGAGCATTAAAATACTATATAGTAGTTACTAGACCCCCGTTAGTTTTCTATTTGTTTAATAAGAGTAGTAAGTTAGGGTAAAGTTTTACAATCTTCTTCTATCATTATACCTATTGAATCAGCAGTTTCTCTGTTGAAGTAGACTGAATCCATCCTATTCTGTGTTGTAGTAATTTTCTCTGTTTTGGTGTACCTCATTATTAGGTAACTTTTTCAATATATCCGTTCAATTACATTCTGTCTTTGTTCAGACCTGTTGGTTGGTGTTATTAACAAAATCGGATTGAGGAAACCATCTTTATTACTAGAAATTGGTGTTATAAGATTTCCTTGCATTTCCTTACTCTCTTATGCCTCTTCACCACTAGAAGTTAATGGTTTAGGTCCTTCTCGTTGTCTCTTAAATTCGACAGATATTTCAATGAACTATAATTTCTTGTTCTTTATCAGGTCGCTCTGTGGAAATGTAGGCCGGAAATGCTGTCACCGCCCCCGTCGGGAGCACCATCACTCCAATGCATCGTCAGATATACACATGAACAACTGCATCAAATCAACATCAGCTGATGTTTTAAGAGCTCATCAAGCATCATCGTCTAGACCAGAAGATATCATGATAGAAACTTAAAAAGCGCTCGCAAAAGACGTCGGTGGAGGTTGTGAATTGATTTTTGAATGAATTACCTTATTCTTATTAACCGTCTTAACGTTTTACTTTTTTCATAATATGTTTTAAAAGACATATTTAAATGATAAACTTTAATCAAATAGGGGTGATGGCGGGGTACAGTAAACGAAATTCTATTTAGTCCGTCAGTTAGATGATCAAAAAATAATGGACACGTATTTTTTCATTGGGCAATCAAGCAAAAAATGACAAAGTTATAGCGCATCAAAGTTTGGGAGTAGGGGCTCGTGACGTCACTTTTAAGTGAAAATTGTACCAAAACGTGACGTCATGCGACTTTTCAAATCAATATATCTCTGCAATGTTTATATTATGTGAAAAAAGAAAAAATACGTGTCTAATACTTTTTGATAATCTACCTGATAAACGAAGAAAAAAAATAAGTCTTTATCAATATTGTAGATGACTATCTCTACTTCAGCGTTTAAAATAGCTTCAGTAGTTTTGAATTTCATGAATCTAATAAGGATACTAAATTGTTTAGACGTGTCTAACATATTTCATGATTCGGAATCGAGGTCACTCGAATATAGATTCTTTTGAAATGAAAGGCTTATAATAAACCAATGTAGACGAAACCATTTAAACTTTAGTTGGTAATAATACACTAATACGTTTTCGTTGTTCTTTATCTAGACCATGACTAAAAATGTACAAAAGCAGCTCAAATTGGAATTCCAATAAAAAGCTATTCAGTTATTGTTCGACTAAAAGAATTTGTTCTGCTCCGAAGTAAAGTATCAGCCATTATTAATTTATTTTCCTTAATAAATCAAAAGTGAATATTGAATGAGTAAATGGAATATAATGTATTTATCATGTCTGTCCTAAATTAAATGACTCAAATAGGTAATAGCGTCACATTTAGCAATTCCTCCAAGTTAAAGCACTTGTATGTACTAAGGGAATATAAAATACAAATTCAATTCCACAATTTGGTTTCCGTAAGATGAAAATAGTAAACACTTTGGATTTGTTGGTTGTTTTTAATTGTATTCGTAATTTTTCAGCTTAGGGTTCAAATGAAATACATTTTTTGACAAATCTACCGGGTACCAACAGAAAATTCTGAAATGAAGATAGCACTTCTTCTTCAATTCTTTAGTTCAAATCTTTTAGCACTCGGGTGCAATTTTCTGACAAAAATGAGAAGATTCGGCAGGTTGCTAGTTTACAAGGTTTTTATTATAGTTAAAAAAAAACAGCAATTTTTTTCAACTCATAATATGAATTGTGTGTCAGTGAATGAGACAAAAGACTGTAAGAGTCTCTAAACATTGCCCAAAACATTGTCTTTGAAAATAATCACGAAAAAAATATAGCGGTATGAAAGGTCAGCTAGCATAAAATAAAAGTATCAAAACTACTACTAGGTACTAGTCAAGATTAAAGACATGATTAAGAATTAAGATCATAAAGCCATAAAAATATTCCCGCATAACCATAATACGAGTTGAAAGCCACGTCCACTAATCTTGTGCCCTTAATTTTTGTTCGACGAAACAAATTTCAAAGAAATCTGATATCACCTTTTAAGATAAAAGGAAAATGGGATTTTCTGTTCCATTTACTTGAGAAAAAAAATTTTGATCTCTCGCATTGAGAACTAATTCAAAAAAAAAGTTTTCAAGAAAATCCTTAGGTGTACTGAACAGTCGTCTATATGAATGCACACTGCTCATTGTTCCCGCACAAATACTGAATCTTTGCGTAAAATCAAAAGATCCTGATTTGCTTGATATACATAAATTTTGACGGTGACATTATATATTCACTCGGGCCCTAATTGTTTTCTAAATTGATAATTAAAGACATGGAGAACTTCCGAGACAAAGCGAAATTAATATCTCCGCCTGCAAATGGAGAATGCCTTGCATGCCATTTCTAAGGCGTACTTTATGAAGCTACTAGACCTTGATATAATTCTCTACCCTATCATGGCGACCATAAAGTTTAAATTAGTTGAAAGCCATTTCGTTTTTTATTAAGGTTAAACCATTGATATTGAACGTTGGGTATGAAATGACCGCTCAGGAATGGCAGATAACGAGTTCATTCGTTTCAATTGTAGTTTAGAAACAATTGAAATATCACGGGTAAGTTTCAATTAAACTTCCACTTGATGGTAGAGAATTTTAAAGACTAGTTAATAGAAAGAGCACCTCTCATTTTTATAAGGCAACCGTATTTTCTGTCGGTTCTTTCAAATTGGTTTGGCGATTTAAGCGTGAAAAGGTAATAGACAGACTGGCAGATACACTTTCTTAATTATAATATTAGTATGGCGTATGGATTAGTATGGATACGACATCAATATACTATGGCTCAAAAAAAGAAACAAAAAGTTTTATTTACGTTATTACATTCGGTATACCATTTCGAAGGTGGAGACTAACTTAGTAAGTATATTAGATACTTGTATCAGGTGGCCTCGCTCTTTATTTACAATAACATACTTATAGTAGGGGAGCCCAAGCGGGGATTTTTGGATTTACTCGAGTGCGGCAGAATAACATATGGGGAGCAACCTTGCACGTAGTTAAGTACTCCCACTATATCTGAGTCATTTATGTGGAGCCAAACGTCTAGGGCAGCAAAAACAAAATTTGAACAAACGGTCATGACTTTTGGTCGGGTCTAAATCGTCAGTCTTTTGAATAGGAGCTACTGGAGGGTTCACGTAACATCCCTCCTCAATGTCTGACGCGCTCGGTTATTTTTTTCTATATTCTACCCCTTCGTACGGCCACCCCCATATCATGCAAACCGCGGCAGTACAATATTTTTTCCGTTCTTAGAAACGTTACATAAACCCTCTAGTAGCTTATATTCAAAAGACTGACGATTTGGGCGCGACCAAAAGTCATGACCGGTCGTTGAAATTTCGTTTTTGCTGCCCTAGACGTTCGGCCCTACATAGGGGGCTCAGGTATGGTAGGAGTACTTAACTAGGTGCAAGGTTGCTCCCCATATGTTTTTCTGCCGCGCTCGAGTAAATCCAAAAATCCCCGCTTGGGCTCCCCTACTATTAATCTTGACTGAAGCATGTGTATCGGTTTACACGATATATGTGTAGCATCTGTATCATCATATTTTATAGTAGCAAGTCATTTTTTTGCACTTGTGCAAGTTCAATAATGTGTTTTTTTAATTATACAAGTGAGCTGATTGATATTCATATGCTTTCGAGAGAATTAACGTATTGCACCATAGCCACGTTATTTCTTCTCCGTCTGATGTTTTTTTTGAATTTTAAATAATTGATTTATGAAATCAAAGTTGTAAGCAGGATACAGTTTTCTTAACGACGAGAATAACATAATTTATAAAGCGTCGATTAGTACCAGAACCACAGATTCTTGTAGGAGATGCTTTGTGCCGTAGCCTGCGAGAGTTCTGTAGCAGACATTTAGCAATCTCGTAGCTGATGGGCGGAGTCAAGCTGACGTAATTATTTTGACTCTGATTTTACGGCACTACTGATGATGATTTATGCGTTCCTAGTAACTGCGTGAATTATTATTGCAAATTTTACTATTAAAAATTATAAAAAAAAAATAGAAATTAACACAAAGCACCTCTACTTCACCACACTACTGCCAGAGGTGAAGAGTTATCTTTAAAAATACAACTAACCTAACCTTACCTTTAGCTTATATTTTTTTGGTGCTCATTTACTATTTTTTGAGGATTATTTAAATATTTTTCATAATAAGAAGTCACGAAGATGAAAGTTTCCTTTCACCAAACATCTTATTCTTTGTATCGGTGTGTTATTTATTCTGTTAACAATTTTATGAGTTTTACACAAATTAAAAACGATACATTGTGTAAGATTTTTAAAAAGCTTTACGTAATTATTTGTGTAATTTATACTTTATTTAGTCTGCATAGTTTAGGACTAAATCATTTTTATACGTTTTTCTTATAATATATTAATAATAAGAAAAATAATGTCCAGTGGCTGAAACATCGTGAAGGGGATATACCAATTTATACACTTTTTGGGTTGGCATGCATTTCAGTTACACTGCCATTAATTCTTCAAGCCTAAGGTTAATACACTTTGTTTTAATTGTATTTTTTGACGTGACAACGTCTTAAATTAGGTTGCGGCTGGGAGTCACTTATGAAAAAGTGTAACGCTCGGTAACGTTACGATGAGTTTAAGTTTACATGTACAATGTTTTAGTAAACAAAATATATTTCTATAGTTAAAATTTGTGCAATTCTTATTTTCATTCAATTCCTTGTTCCTATTGTGCAATTTAATTATATTCATATCAATAAATATTCTACCGAGAAAAAGACGTTGTCACGTAAAATCTTCGCCCGTAAAACCGACTTTACAGGCAACCATTTTTTTTTTTAGCAGGTATTTAATTAAAATTATTATCAATATTTATTTAATATATTTCAAAGGATGAAGTAGACAAGGATTTCTGCTGTAAATGCATAATAAAAATTAGTTTTGTCGCGATTTATATAATAAACATCATCATTATTTTTACTGTATTTTTCTTACATACGTAAGCATTTATCCGATTGCAATTTTGAGGAACATTTGAACGCTGAACGTAGCGACGGAAGCACAAAAGCACTGTGATAACTTCACTATGAAAAATTCCACACTCAGCCCATAGAGACTCGTAGAAAATGTATTCATTTCTTTTTGTATAGTAATATATGTACAAATGCTTTAACTCTCTACTATGGAACTATAAGAGGAATCTCCGGTACTAGTTATAAGAGAAGTACTATGATTTTAATAAATAAAGAGGCTCCCCATGGACAGGAATACTATACCATATCGGTATCCATAGGTATCCAAAAAATAGACCAAACCAACCATATGAAATAGATGAATCAAATTATTCAGCAAAACCGAATTTACTGGAATGGATGCACAGTACAACTCTTTCAAATTTTATTCCTTTACCAATCTTTACAAAGATCGGGATTCTGGAGATCTTGCGTACAATCGTGAGCTCCGTCCCTAAGACCAAATATCACCTCAATCCTGGGTCCTGACCCAGGGGTACAACAAAGATAAAAAAAAAACAAATTCCGGTGCCCCAGGGCCTCTACGCCTCAAAATCCGGCCCTGCCGCAACCTATAAGTCTATTATTAGAGCAGGGGCCGTATTATGCACGCTTAACGCCAGGCAAAAATAACTGTTCAAGTAGGATGTCGCCCTACTGTGCGCATGTGATATCTCGCTCTAACAATGGAACTAGCCTGTTTTTAAGAGTTGATAATACAGTATACAGTTACAGTACATTAACTAGGTTTTGAATAACTTGTCTGATATCTTCGTTTTAGTCCAAGCATTCTACGACAGTTTAATTATGGTTTATAAACGTTACGTTACGT